CCTCATCTCCCGCTCCGCCATGCCGTTCTGCTGCGGAGTATACGGGCAGGTAAGGTCGTGGAGGATCCCCTTTCCGTCCACAAGGGCGGTGAAGTCCTTCCCGAGGAACTCCCCTCCCCGGTCAGAACGCAGCATCAACACCGACTTCGTCGTCTGCCGCTCAACCGTCACCAGCCACTGCTCGAACTCTCGCAGCACGTCGGACTTCCGGGCGACCGGCCGCTCCCACACGTAGCGGGTCTTGCAGTCTTTCATAGCAGAAAGTACGAGCTGCCATCCTTGGCGGCCACCCGGAATGGCCCGCACAGGTCGATGTGCACGACGGCCAGCACATCGTCGGCGTCGGAGCCCTGGTCAGGGAAGGTGTGCCGCGCCAACTTTCCGCCGACACACGAGACACACGGTGAGTCGGTGCCCGACGTCGACTTGAGGTCCAGCCCAGTGGCGACCTCGTGCTTCGCTGAGCTCAGGATGGTGTCCATGCCGACGTGCGCCAGCCGCGCGTGCAGCCTGTTCGGCGTCGACTTCGTCGCCGAGACGATCGCCCGCAGGGCCACGGCCTCCGTCCTGGTCGACGTCGACCTCGTTGAATAGGGACGCAGGTCGGTGCAGAGGACTCGCCCGGTGTAGGACGCCCGACCGAGGACGTCTCCCGCCGCCGAGACGAGCAACATCCCGTCGCCGTCCTCCTGCAGCTTCACGCCGCTCTCCTTCAGCTGGCCGGCTGAGAGCAGGTTCGCCCGTACACCCGGGACGTACAGTACGTCGGGGATGAGCACCTGCTTCCCGGCCTCCCCTTGCAGGGCGACAGTGCCGCGACCCTGGACGTCCTGCAGCGCCCCATTGAAGCCGCGCACGTGCTTCACGTCGCCGCTCGGTCCCAAGTCGACAAAGGCGTCCTTCGTCCCCATCAGGTGGTGGGAGCAGCCGCTGTCAAGCACGACCACCACCGGATTAGCCTGCACAGCTACCGCCACCGCCTGGAAGTCCTCGCCGGCCTCCGGCGCCAGCGAGACGGTCGGCTCCACGACGCCGACCAGGGAGCACGACGCCGACTTGTCGTCACGCCCTTTTCCGCCAGCAGAGGAGTCGGCGTCCTTCGCCGAGGTCGACTTGGTCGACTGCTTCTCCTTGCGCGGCTGGTTTCCTCCTGGACGAGGACGACGACTGCCAGACCTTCCACGGCCTCCCTTGGCGTCGTCGTCGTCGGTATCACCGCGGTCGGGGCACTCGAAGGAGAGGTGGTCGGGGTCGCCGCACAGCCAGCACTCCCGACGTCGACTTCCTCCTCCTCGGCCGCTGTCCTTGGTCGACTTCTTCTTGTTGACTTCCTTGGCCGGCTTCGAGCCACTGCTACCACCGCTGCCAGACTGTCCACGCTGCCCCGGTCGACCACCTTGCTTCGCCGGGGCGACGTAGTTTACCTGCGCCAAGAGCTCTTGGGACCGCTCGACCTCCTGCATTGCCTCGTCCTGCAGAATGTACGAGGTCAACGTGTCCTCGTTGAGCGTCGCCCGCGTGCTCGGCGCCATCGACAGCCGCTTCAGTAGGTTGTAGCTGCTCGGGAGTCCCTGCATGACATGGGTGACATACGATGCCGTCGAGTACTCCGCGCCAGCCATCCTGATGGTGGCGAGAATCCGCCGAGCTCGGTTGCAGTAGTCTGTCGCCGTCTCCTGGTCGCCCATACGCAGGTGCGTCAGCTGCCCTTCAAGCTGGGCAATGAACAAGTCGTCGGTGACTTGGTAAGTCGACTCGATGAAGTGCCACGCCCGGTGGCCGGCGTCGAGGTGCTCCCTGCACGACTTCAGGGCGATTTGCACGCCCGGCGAGCAGCACCGCGATATGACCGTGAAGGTCAGTAGTTGCACAGCGCAAAACTCCGCACCCAAGTCGGGGTCATCCGGCGTCGCCACGGTACCGCGAGCAAAGTTGATCAGCCCGGCCATCTCCAGCTAGGGCTCGATGGCTTCCTTCCAGGTAAGAATGTCGGGTCGACCAACCAGCAGGGGAGTGACCAAGATCCTTTCTGGCGTGAACTTGAAGTAGCCGTAGCTCGGTGCAATCCCGCCTGCTGTCACCTGGGTCGCCGACATCGGCAGAGACCCACTTCGTCGACCTCCGACGTCACCCTGCGAGGAGCCTGCAGCCGCCGACGACCGCATCCCTCGCACCTGAACGCCGCCGACTTCATCGGCGTGAATCACACCACGCTGCCTCGACGACGTGCCTCCCGCACTGCTGCCGACTTGGTCACCACTAGTGTTGACGCCCACGTCGACGCCGCCCTCGTTGTTCACCGGTCGAGGAGATGCAGGCCGAGAAGGAGGGTGCTCCGTCGCCCACACGGAGCGGATGCCAGCCTCGACGACCGCCCAGGGGAGGTCGCTGAACTCTTTCGCATCATGGCGTCTCCTCGCGCTCTCCAGCCGTGCCTCTAGGGTGTCCACCACCCCCGTGTCACCTACGGCGCCTACCATAGTGACTACTGCACAGCTGCCGGCCTACGAACAACTTAGGTAAGGTGCAACTAAGTCGACTAGACTGAAAGGTAAGTCGGGTGCCGTCCACGCTCACCGCACCATGCGGAGATAACCACTACGACGGGAGCTGGACTACGGGCTAGGCACGGGTGCTCGTGTGATCTCTACGTTCACTTGTTCCTTAGTCATTTCCAAGTGCTCACACTACTTGCTAGTTCACAGGGAGAATTGGCAAGAGTTTCACTAGGAAAGGTTGACAACAAAAAAATTGTACAATGAAGTTGGCAAGACTAGACTACATCAGAGCTAGCATGCAAGCAAGTCTACTACCAGCGCAGCACGGTCGACCGCGTGCCAGCACGACTTGGTCAACCGCGCTCCAGCAGTGCAGAGGCGCGGCTTGCCAGTGCTGCAAGTCGACGGCGTGCCAACATCGCAGGTTGACGGCGTGCCAACGCTGCTCCCGCAGGACAGCAGCGCACCCGCTTCGCAGGTGCTCGCAGATGATTGGCGTGTAGTGCCTCGTCACCTGCACAGCGCACACACCAAGTCAACTTCGTGCTGACGATTGATTCTGATAAGCCACGTCGACCTCGGGATACCACCACCGAGATCGTCCTCGCCAACATCGCCTGAGCGACCGTCGCGTGCCTTCGCAGAACCTCGTCACCCAGATAACCTGGTCGACCAGGCAATCACGTCGACCAGCTGCTCCTGTATGTGCCGGTCGACCTCCCAAGTCGACGACCACCTCCAGTCGACCTCCCCAGGTCGACCACTATGTTCGGTCGACCACCAGGTCGACCAGAAGGCCTGGTCGACCAACCAAGTCGACCAGAAGGCCTGGTCGACTTACCAGGTCGACCAGAAGGCCTGGTCGACTTACCAGGTCGACCAGAAGGCCTGGTCGACTTACCAGGTTGACCAAAAGGTCTGGTCGACCAACCAGGTCGACCAGAAGGCCTGGTCAACTAACCAGGTCGACCAGAACGCCTGGTCGACTTACCAGGTCAACCAAAAGGTCTTGTCGACCAACCAGGTCGAACAGAAGGCCCGGTCGACTAGAAGGTCTGGTCGACCAACGAAGTCGACCAGAAGGCCTGGTCGACCAACCAGGTCGACCAGAAGGTCTGGTCGACCAACCAGGTCGACCAGAAGGTCTGGTCGACGTCCCAGGTCGACCAGAAGGTCTGGTCGACCAACCAGGTCGACCAGAAGTTCTATCAGCCGACCACCCAAGTCGGCTACCCCAAGTTGGCGTCACCAAGTCGACGCCCTCCGCAGGTCGACTTCCCAGGTCGACCTTCCTGAAGTCGGCGCCATCCTGAAGTCGGCGCCCATGCAGTGGCACCCGTGCAGGTCGACTTCCTCGTCGACCAGCTCGCCCACTGCTGCAGGTCGACTGCACCCCTACACCCGACCACGAAGTCGGCTCCGCCCAAGCGAGGACGGGGCCAACACACAACTCCCGTTGACAAATAGTTCCAGCCTTTTTATGGTGCGTCGCCGATGCATTGGACATGGTTGCTTTGCTGTCTTCGATCCAAGGGAGGAGTGACAGGGAAGGCTGGCTGAGAGAAAGCGGTTGTCGTGGATGTGCCCGGAAATCGAAGATTAACTGTCACCAGAATTAACTCGGATTAAAAAGGGAACGAGGCTAAAAAAAGAATAACGAATAGCCCATTCCACCGAGGTCGAGACACGTTCAAACAAGAGTGACAGAAAAGAGTGACGGTGAAGACGACTTTAGAGCATGTTCTGATGGGCGTCTTTGTCAAATGTTGTATCTTCTACAGTTTGTTTAGGTTGTAGTGGGGTAGTTACTATGAGTACAACATGTTTAGGGTTTCCTACTTGTACCCAACCACTTTCCTAGTGCAACCACTTCTCTCATTCTAACATGGTATCTGAGCCTAGGTTTGGAACCTAGGACCACTTACCTAAGGGCCCACCGTTCCGCTAGAGGCACCCTCGTTCGCCCCCCAACGTCGTAGCGCCCTCGTGCGCCTCTCTCCTAGTGCGCCCTCGAGCGCCCTCTCTCTCACGCTGCCCGTTTGCAGCCCGCTAACAGCCCGAGCGCGGCCCCACGTTCTTAGCGCGAGCAGCCCGCTAGCCGCCAGAGCGCGGCCATATTTTTCTTGCGCGCGCTAGTAGGCCGTCGCCCACAGGCCCCACTCGCCCCTAGGCCGCCGCTCGACCCGCTGCCGCCCGCCCGAAGGTCGCAGCCCGTGCGCAGCGGCGATCGCGCGTCGGCTGCTGCAGCTCGCGCTTAGCCGCCGCACGAAAACAGCTGCAGCCCGCGTGCGGCCGCATCCTAGGCGCTACCACGCGCAGTGCCTAGGCCCGCCGTCGCGCAGCCCTACCTGCCCGAGCCAGCCGCGCCGTCCTGCCCGAGTCGCGCCGCCCTTACCGAGCCGCGCCGCCCCCCCTGCAGCAACTGCTGCTCCTGTTCCTACTGTTACAGCTGCTACTGCTACTGCTGTTTCTGCTACAAGTGCTACTGCTACTGCTGCCACCATGGCCAGTCCTATCGTTCTCACTTTTAACGCTGAGGGCCGTCCGATTAAGTTTGACGTTTGGCTCGATGACCAGCACCTGTTCCTCCAGATCACTGCCAAGGACGATGTTTCCCTGTTTGACCACACGTCCGGCGCCGCTCCCGCACCTGCTGCTACTGCTGACAGCACTGCCCGCTCACAGTGGCAGACCCGTGACGCTCACGCTCGCCTAGCCGTTCGCAGCCACCTGCCGTTAGATGAGCGCGAGCACTTTGGCCAGCATAAGACCGCTAAGGAACTGTACGATGCTGTAGTTGCACTCTACTCCTCCCCTGCTACTGCTGCGATAGGCCATCTCTCACTGCCCTATCTCTTCCCCAATCTGTCTACCTTTGCCACTGTAGCTGACCTCATCACCCACCTCCGTACTAGTGATCTTCGCTACCGTGCCGCGCTTCCCCCCGATTTCCTAGCCAAGAACCCTCCCTCGATGTACCTCACACTCTACCACCTAGTCACCCGCCTCCCTGACTCTCTTCGCGCTGTCAGGGACCACTTTCTCGCCCTCTCCCCCACCGACCTCACTGTCGACCTGCTCGAGAAGGAACTCCTAGCAGCTGAGAAGAGCATTGTAGCTGTAGGTGCCTCTCGTGGCGACTCTCGCACTCCCTTCTTTGAGGGGTGCTCCCCCGTCCCCCTCCTCCCCTCCATTGCATCTGCTGCTGCTGTCGACTACCTCGACGCTGAGGGGGTCGGGGCTGCGTCTGCTCCTAGTGGGAGGCGCAAGGGTGGCAGGGGCAAGGGGGGCAAGGGTGGCGGGGGTGGCGGCGGGGGCGGCAGTGGTGGAGGGGGTGGAGGCGGCGGGGGTGGTGGCGGTGGTGGGAGTGGTGCTGGTGGTGGGGGGGTCAGTGGCGGGGCCGGGGGTGGTGGAGGCGGTGGTGGCGGGGGTGGTGGGGGTGGGGGTGGTAGTGGTGGCGGCAGTGGACCTGGTGGCGGGCGCGGTGGAGCGGTGCAGCGTGGGGGGATTGGCAGTGGCCAGAGGCAGCAGCAGCAGCGTCCCAGCAAGACCCTGTCGCCCCAGCAGCTCCGTGAGTGGTACTCTCAGCGTGGGGGGTCTGGGGGTGGAGGTACCTGCCCGTACGTCATCCGCACAGGTGACCGCACTGGCTTGAACTGTGGGAGGTTTCACACGGCGCAGCGCTGCTTCTTTCGTCTCGACGACGCATGGCGCGAGCAGTTCCCTGATGCCTCTGAGCTGCCCTCTTGGGCTGATCTGCTTAAAAAGAACATTGATATCTTTGCTCTTAATTTTGATGCTATCCTTGGTGCTATGTATGCATTGACTATTGGTGTTGAGGGTGACTGTTACCTGCGTGTACCGCTCTAGGTGCTAGTGCGTCTGCTGCCCTAGGTCTTGGTGAAGCTGCTGCTCTCGGTGCTAGTGAGTCTGCTGCTCCAGGTGCGCGTGCGTCTGCGCCTGCTGGTACTGCGTCTACTAAGGCACTGCACACCTTCACACTGGACTCAGGTGCTTCCCGCTGTTTCTTTCGTGATTGCACTGTCCTTGAGCAGCTTGCTCGGCCTCTTTCTGTCTCCCTCGCTGACCCCTCTGGGGGCCCGGTCCTTGCGACCTCCTCCACTGTTCTCCCTTGTCTTGCGGTTCCGGCCGGCACCCTGTCGGGTCTTTACCTCCCCTCGTTCTCTACGAACTTGGTGGCGGGCTCTGCTCTCCAGGACGGGGGTGTTCACCAGTTCACCCCTGCCTATGAGCGTGTGACCCACTGTACGTGTGCTCGGACGGGTCGCCACCTGGCTACCTTCACCCGGTAGCCGGGGTCAGACCTGTACACGCTGACCACTGAGTCTTCCCTGTGTCGAGGGGCGGCAGCGCGCCGCTCCTCACTCCTCCTCGTTCCCTCCCATAGAGGCTCCCCTGCAGACTCTCCACCTGGACGTGTGGGGCCCAGCCCGCGTCCGTGGACAGGGCCACGAGCGGTACTTCCTGCTGGTCGTTGACGACTACACGCGCTACACCACGGTCTTCCCCTTGCGCACCAAGGGTGAGGTCCCTGATGTTTTGATCCCTTGGATCCGCGCTGCTCGTCTCCAGCTCCGCGAGCGGTTCCAGTCGGACTTTCCCGTCCTGCGTCTGCACTCTGACAGGGGTGGTGAGTTTTCCTCCGACCTCTTGGCAGCCTTCTGTGCGGAGCACGGCATCCGCCAGACATTCACGCTTCCGGCCTCTCCACAGCAGAATGGGGTTGCGGAGCGCCGCATTGGCTTAGTCATGGAGGTCGCTCGTACCTCCATGATCCATGCGGCTGCCCCCCATTTCCTGTGGCCGTTTGCAGTGCAGTACGCTACGCATCAGCTCAACCTCTAGCCCTGAGTCTCTGCTCCGGAGACCTCGCCCACACTGCGTTGGACGGGGGAGGTTGGCGATGCGTCGGTGTTCCGGGTCTGGGGATGTCGAGCCTTTGTCCGCGATACGTCCGCGGACAAGCTCTCCTCCCGTGCCGTTCCCAGTGTATTTCTTGGCTTTGTCCCTGACGCGCCTGGCTGGCAGTTTTACCACCCCACCTCACGCCGTGTCTTCCCCTCTCAAAACGTCACCTTTGACGAGTCACTACCCTTTTACCGTCTCTTCCCGTACCGCACTGCGCCGCTTTCCCCCCCGCCACTCTTCCTCACCCCAGTTGTCCCTTCGGTAGACCCTCTCCCTCCCCAGGGTCCTGCTCCCTTAGGTGTTTCCCAGGTAGACCCGGTCGAGCCTGTCGAGGTAGCTGTCGACTCTCGTCCTTCGAGGGGTACTGCGTCTGGGGGTGTTGAGACTGGGGGTTCTGAGCCTGGGGGTACTGAGACTGGGGGTGCTGAGCCTGGGGGTGCTGAGACTGGGGGTGCTGAGCCTGGTGGTCCTGAGACTAGGGGTGCTGAGCCTGGGGGTGCGGAGACTGGGGCTGTTGGAGCTAGGGGTTATACCGGAGCTGGAGCTGGAGGTGCTGGCGCTGGTGACGCTGGCGCTGGAGGTTCTGGAGTTGCTGCGGGTGCTGGCGCTGAGGGTTCTGAGTCTGCTGTTGCGCGGTCTCCTTGCGCCTTCTTCCGCGTGTGCCTCTCACGTCCCAGTAGCTCCACGCCTGGTACGGTCGCCGTCAGGGTCGCGCTTCTGGAGCTCGGAGTTCTGCCGCTGGAGGTGCTGCTGCTGACGTTGCTGGAGCTGGGAGTAGTACTAGTCCTTTGTCTACTGGAGTTGCTGGTCCCGGAGGTGCTCGTCCTGGAGGTACTGGAGCTGCTGGGACTGGAGGTGCTGAGCCTGCGGGTGCTACTGCTGGAGACACTGCGGCTGGAGACCCTGGGTCTGGGGGTGCTGCTGCTGGAGACACTGCCGCTGGGGACCCTAGGACTGGAGGTGCTGGTTCTGGGGGTGTTGCTGCTGGAGGTGCTGGAGCTGCTGGTGCTGGTGGCACTGCACCGCCGCGACTGTTCTTTGCTCTGCCATCTCCGTCGTCTCAGCCACCGCCTGACACTGTACTTCGTCAGGTTCTTGGTCTCCCGTCTTCTCCTGGTCTTTCGTTACAGCCTGGCTCACCGCTGCTTGCTCCTTCTCCTTACACTGAGCAGGCAGAAGGTCTTGCTGGGCGTCGTGAGCCTGGGTCGCGTCCTGTCTCGCCTCTTCGTTCTGGTCGTACCAGTCGTCGTGTTCCTCGTCCGCGTTCGCCGGCTGTCCCCAGCGCGCACCTCGTCGTCCGTCGTCCCTTCTTTGCTCCGCAGTCTGTTCCTTTGCCGTCTCCTCCTGCGTCCTCTCTGCCTGCCGTTCCGGACCCTGAGTCTGACCGGTTTCGTGCTGCGCACCCTACTGTCACGCGTCTGTTAGCCACAGTTGTCACTGACCCGTCGTTTGAGTCTACTACTGCGTCTGCCTTGGTTGCTGAGCTTGTTGCCTTTGCTGCTGCCTGTCGTCTAGACTACGCCACTGCTCTTGTTGCTGAGTCTGAGTCTGTCTGTCCTTCGTCCGTCGGGGGTGAGTGTGCTCTTGGCACGGACGTCCTTGAGGAAAGGCAGGAGGAGTTTGAGTGCTTTGCCGCTGCTGTACCTCATCTCGTGTCTGTTGCACGAGGAGATCTGGCTGCGCCGCCCTCCTGGCTTCACTGGGTCGTTTCCTCCTGGTACCCAGTGGAGCCTCCGGCGGCCAGTCTACGGTCTTCACTAGGCGCCACGTGAAAGGCACGACACACTGAGGACTACACTTGCGGCTCTTGGGTTCGCGCCTTCTACTGCTGACCCGTCATTGTTTCTGCGCACCGACACTTCGCTGCCGTCGTTCTACATCCTCGTGTACGTCGAGGACTTGGTCTTTGCCACTGCTGACACTGAGGCTCTCGCCCTGGTGAAGTCGGAGCTGCAGAAGAGACACACGTGCACAGACCTGGGTGAGCTGCGTAGCTACCTTGGCTTGCAGATCACCCGGGACAGAGCACGTCGCACCATCACACTGACTCAGTCACACATGGTGCAGCAGATCCTTCAGCGCTTCGGCTTCACCTGGTCCTCGGCACAGGCCACTCCTCTGGCTACAGGTCACTCTCTCTCAGCTCCACCTTCGGACGAGTCCGTAGAGCCGAGTGAACCACTTCTCTCATTCTAACAGTCTTGACCGCTGTGGTTAGGACGCCCTGCTCGCGATTGTCACATCCCGCACGCACATGGTTCCAATCGCGTCAGAAGTCGGATGCGAATCGGCTAGCTCATAACAATAAACACAACGAGGGCGGCTGAAAATTTGCCTCTGGCCTACAATTTGGTCCTCCTGAATTGCGTCGTCCCATTGTAATGCAAGACCTCCCGGGCTACGTTCTGCAGGCGCATCATGCCGGATGGCTACAGTAAACCAGGGTTCCTAGTTCCTTCCTTGATAACCTGTCGACAGGTTATCAAGGCACGCGATAAGCGGATGGCTGCCAAAGCAAAACAACGCCGAATGCTTCTAAAACAGCCTTTTTTGTCCTCGAAATTCGAAATGTCGTCATGTTCCACGAATTCTCCTATTATAGCGATCTGGCGCATCACTGATGCGCGCATCATGCGACTTCGGAAAATCGCATCATGCTCGCATCAGCTGATGCGCTGGAACCTCATTGGCCAATTTGTTTGGCACTTTATAAACCCCGCGACATCTGACTTCCTGGAAACCTGTAACATTTTGTTTGTTGGAATTCAATGCTAGGAAATTGAATGGTTGCGTTCTGCAGGCGCATCAGCCTGATGCGCCAGAGGCTCGGCCTGATGCGGGCATTGGAATATTGAATGACATTGAGGTTCGGAATCGAGTAATTCAATTTCCTGACATTCAATTTCGACAACCCAAATGTTATGCGTTTCTAGGTGGCTGTACAGCGCGGAATTTCAGGATGCCAAGTTTAGGAAAAAAAAAACAAATTGACCAATGAGGGTGTCCCGCACCAGTTGATGCGCGCATCATGCGACCTCGGTTGTTGCATGATGCGCGCAATAGTGATGTGCCAGATTGCTAGGAAAGGAACTTTCGTGGAAAGCGGTCACATTTCAAATTTTGCGGGCCAAAAGGCTGTTCTGCAGGCATTCGTGTTTGTTTTGCTTCGGTAGTCATGCGCTTATCGTGAGCCCTGATAACATGTCACATGTTATCAAGGAAGAATACAAGAACCCTGTTTTGCTGTAGCCATACGGACTGATGCGCCTGCAGAACCCAGCCATGTCTCAATCCCGAACCTTTATGTCACAAATGTCTCAAATGTCTGCATCTACTTGAGCCTCAGGCGCATCAGGCTAATGCGCCTACAGAACGCAACATTGAATTGCAACAGCCGCCCAGCCTATTCAATGTGCGAGGATTCTCGAATCTGGGTGCGTACCAAACGAAGCAAAATTCTCAGCTGCCCCGATAGTGCTGTACCCGCCACAAAATCGAGTTGCGTGTTTCAATGAATTTTCAATTAATGACGTGTTGCGACCCAAAGAGATTGGGTTGGGTCGGCTCAACCTGGTCGGCTAAACCCAACCCGACCAGATCTTCAGAAACGCGGCTCGGGCAATGAAGGAATTTCCCGCCGCTTTACATGCATCCTTGAAGTAATTGGTGGGCTGGGCAATTCGTGGTGATCGCCACCACGTCGCTCACACAGAGTTACTCAATTATTTTGTTCAGCAAAATAGAGGCGACATTTGAGCGAAAAAAACTTTAGGTCGCAAGTTCGGGTAACCTGCTCCAGCTCGATTGGTTTGGGTTTGGTCGACTTGGTTGACCAAACCTCATCGACCTCGGTCGGGCAGACCCAAGCGGGTCGGGTTTGCTCGACTTGGTCGGCTAGGCGCGCGACGTAGCCTTCCTCGAAATTAAGGATCGGGGGGTGG